GGGAGCGGCCCCCTCATCATCCCTCTCCGCCTTTCTTCCGCAGGGAAGTGCCGAGGGCTCCGCACCGCGCGGAAGCTCCGCAGCCACCGCCGCGACCAGAAGTGGCACGACAAGCAGTACAAGAAGGCCCACCTGGGCACGGCGCTGAAGGCTAACCCCTTCGGCGGTGCCTCTCACGCCAAGGGGATTGTCCTGGAGAAAGTGTGGGTACAGCTGTGCGGAGTGCTGCGGGCCGGTGTGGGCGGGTCGTGGGGCCATCCTCCTTCCGTGTGCCTCGCTCCCCACTGGTGCGTGGCGTGGGCATCTGGCTGCCCCGGAAGGCCTCCCGGAAAATGAGGCCTCTGAGAGGGACCTAGAGAGAAGCACCGCTAAGCGCCTTTATTTTAGAAATACAGGAGAGGTTTTGCTGCCTCTGACATGCTTCATTTCTGTTAATTTCTATATGCTCTGAAAACGTGGGTTATTTTGCAAGTGGCCGTGCTGAAAGGTATTTTTTCACATACACGTGTCATTTAAAACTCTTGCTTATTTAGAAGCTAAAGAATAAAAATGTCATGTAACTCATCTTAGGATTTAGGGGGGGTGGATTCTGTGTGTGCTTTGTGTCAAAGATCCCACCTACTTGTTTTCTAGCTTTTTTTTCTTCCATAATTTATAAGATTGGGACACTGCCAGGGCTCCAAGGTGTTTCTCTCCCTTTTTTTGTGCCCACCCCTCCAAATTATTATTTACTTAATTAGTATGTGTCTGTGGGTGATTAATTACCAATTTTTACTCAGCTTTGGAACTGGCCTTGTATGTATTGAATAGCTCTAAAGAGATAACTGATAGCTTTTGATTCTGAAGTACAGATGCAACTTGCACTTAGTACAAAATAATGCAGTAATTTGTGGTGCTGTAATGATTATCTGCTATTAATCTACCAGATTTAATCTGCCAATTTAAATTTTGCTAATTTATTTCCATGTGCTTCCATTTCAGTGGAGTAGAAGCTAAACAGCCCAACTCTGCCATCAGGAAATGTGTTAGAGTCCAGCTGATTAAGAATGGTAAAAAAATAACAGCTTTTGTTCCCAACGATGGCTGCCTGAACTTCATTGAGGTAATTTTCAAGAAGTGACCTATAAAAAATGGTATCTCAAAGTAAGGAAACACATAATTGACAGATTTAGGGTATGGTTAGACAAGGGTTCATGGCATTCTGCACACGTGTATGTTATAGCTGTGGTGGCAGAGATAAAAGAAAAAGTGAGAGAGATTATTGTACTTTCCCCTCCCTCTGCAAGGGTAGTTCTCAGCTGTAGTGCTGCAAGCTAAATGATAGCTCTGTTTCTGATTCCTTCCTCCAAAACACTGAAGGGGATAACAGTCCTTTATTAATGTATAGGTATCAATATATATTAATGTGTAGATAGATATCAGCAGCTCTACTATTTGAACTCTTTAAATTTGAGACACACCCTAGACTTTCTAATGTTACCCATTCAGAAGTGTGTACAGGTTTAACGTTTGTAGCTTTGTAACTATGTGGTCTTTCATTGCAGGAAAACGATGAAGTTCTGGTTGCTGGTTTTGGTCGGAAGGGCCATGCTGTTGGTGACATCCCTGGAGTTCGCTTTAAGGTTGTGAAAGTAGCCAATGTTTCTCTGTTGGCCTTGTACAAGGGCAAGAAGGAGAGACCAAGATCATAAATTCAGATTAAACTGACAAGAATGTCAATAAAATTTTTGATTGGAAAAATTTCTATGCTTGTTGTTTGAGGCTTATGATTTTTTTTAATGTGTATCTGCAAGTGACAAACCTCAGAAATTTTGGGGCGTACTGTCTTTTTGTTGTTGGCAGCTGGCTTTTCCTTCTATGAGAAATGCTTTGCCACTGAGGGACAGAAGAGTGCCGGGGCATCTTTATAACCAGCAGGTGAGCTTGAAAAGCGCAGCATTTCCAAATTTACCTTTGTGTTGTGTGAAGCAACACAGCTGTCTGCCAGGAACTTCACAGAATTAAAGGGTGTTTTAGTGCTTTGTGGACCATCCCTGATGGCCAGCGCCTTCATGAAGGCTTCTTCAGCTTAATAACTAGACTAGTGACTCTGTTGCTGTCAAAGATGGCAAGATGGACTGAGAGATCTCTCCGAGGCCTTTGTCCCATCCTAAACCCTCCTTCCTGAAAGCTCTCGTAAAAAGGGCCCCGTGAAACAATTTCTGGACTGTTATTGCTGCCAGTTGCACAGAACCAGAAAGTTTTTGAAGCCTGGGTCCATGAATGTCACTAACAGAGCTAACTGGGGCTCTGACCTAAGGAAGCAGGCTGCGTTCTGTCTACGAGAAGGAAAAGGTCTCTGGTGTCTGCTCTGTTGCACGAGGGATGGAGTGCTGCAAGAGCATGGCGGAGGAGATCACTGTGTCACCCTGGCACATGTGGTCCAGCACAGCTCGACACATGCTACGTGCACCAGAATTGAAAGTGGGCTAACTATTGCTTTGGTGTCACAGCCTTAATCCTAAGAGGGCTGCATCAGCGCATGAGTGGGGATGGCTTCTGCAGTGGGAAGGGTTGGGGGAGCCACAAGTTTGCCGCCACACCTTACAGTAAACTTAGGTTTCTCATTTGTCAATAAAGGTTTGGAGTGCATGATTCTTACTGGATGTTAGCACAGCACTTACAGATGGAATATACCTGTCAGGATGAAAAGATTAGTCAGGCAGCAAGATTAGATCTTTTATCTCATGTCTACTGTTTTGAGAGGTAATTCAGTTTATTATAAAGTACCCCTGTGCTGTGTGGAGAACAATCAATTGCTTTTTTTTTTGTCTTGCCTAATCTCATCTCTGTCCTGCTTAGCCCATAGAACTTCACCCAGTTCCTTCATGGTAAGTGCAAATTAAGTCAAACTAGTTGGACTTCAGCAAGTCTGCCTGATTTGAAGACACCAGTTTCTTTTAGTGCATTCCAGTTGTTTTCATTTAACTGCTGTGTTACTGACTTGAATGTGTCTTTGAGTAGGGCTTTTTTGCTTGCTTTGCTAGATTAAAAAAAACTTACAAATAGTTGAACTTTTTTATTTTTTAGAGATTTCTGCACCATGATTAGGCTATCTGAAAACCTCACATATTTCATCAGTTTGTATCTTCAATCATTTTTCTGTTATTGTCTAGTTTCTCAAATACTGCTTTAAAATGTGGATGCCAGAACTAGTACAGAATTACAGAACATGAATCAAGCAGCCAACACATCCCTCTGTATCAGCCTTTAAATCACATCCAGATCTTCTGTTGATACTTGCACTCATAAATTTTATCTTTACTTTGGCCCTTTGAAAGTACATTTTGCACAAAGCTTGTAACAGAGCACTGGGTTCTTTGTTTCATATTAGAGCTACTTTATGCAATAACACCTCAAAATATTTATTTGGCTGAAGTTAAAGTGTAAACAATTCCCTCATTATAATCAAAATTGATCTGAGTGTTCAACCAAAGGGCTCTGCTTCAATAAGTATTCATCCATTTATATGAAAATGGAGTAAAATTTAAGAACAGATTGAGAATCTCTACTACTGGGTATTTTCTGGCTTAGTGATGGGGGAATTTGTGAGATTTGGATTCAAATCCTTGCCCAGGTGCAGAAGCAATGTTGAACTTGGGTCTCCCTTGTCCCCGTAAATGCAGTAGCCTCAAGTTGCAATGACAACAACTTTTGCAGCAGCCACTTCCCAGCTTTATGGGGGAACTTGGAAAAGCTGCTCTCTGCGATTCTGGAATTAAGACTCTCTTGTTCTGTTGGAACTTGACTTAAATGCCCTTTAAGATTTTCAGAGTGAGGCCTTAACTCCTTGACTAATCTTGGACGCAGTGTAAATGCACAGAACCTGTAGAGCACTTCAGTGAACAAGCACGCCAGAGCCGAGGCAAAGAGGTTGGGTGGACCATGCCATCAGCTATCCCCACGGCTCCCTAGGTCACACAATATCGCCACTGTTTTTCCTCTGCTTTCTGGTTTCCTAGATCTGTTGTTTTCTTGGATAGTGAAGGGTTAACTGCTTGTAATTTTTTTTTTCTTTCATGCAACCATATGCGTGTTCTGGATGTGTTCTCTTTTCACCCAAAATGTTAGGCGGATGGATTTTGTGGATCTTCTACATCTGCCCAGTATTTCTTACAGCTTCACTGAATCAGAGTTACTGTTTATGCACAGCAATTCAACCATGCTATTGTATGCCCAGAAATCCCAGATATGTCCTTACCATGTCTGCTGTGGCTCTGTCTAATGCTTCCGTGAAACTTGGAATACATATGGAGTAATTGGAGGTAGCACACAGTGGAGATGCATACAGATTCTGCTGCAAAGCCTCTGAAATCCAGCCATCATCCAGGAGCAGAACGAGTGTAGACAGCCAGGTTTGAAAGCGCTGGCTGCCATCAGTACAGCTATATTTACAATAATATGCATCAAACCAAGTGTAGGTACTCATGTGAGAGAAATCAGGTACACAATTACATGCAAAACAGCTAGAAGGTCACCACGTTTTTTCAGGTGATCTTTCATCGCAATAAGACTGGAAGCTACTGGATGAGCAAACCTGAACACTGAGCTCCGACACTGCTTGCAGATCTGACAGCAGTTCTGGGGGAAGAGGCAGATCCCAGCCAGCTCATTTAATCTAGAAATCATGGTCTTACATGGTTTTAACCTACACAACTGCTGCTGTTAGGATGCCAGCTCAATTTCCACAGGAGATACATTACTTCAACTAAGAAAATCAGCAGCTTTGGTTTTGTTATTACAGGCAGACCGAGTCTGTCTGGTTTTGTTGTTTTGAATTGCTTTTCTTGCGTAGCAGAAATTATTAGTAGGGCTGCCAGCGATACTCCTTTGAAAAAAAAGGATTTTGCTGCAGCCAGAGAAGATGACTATCGAAGTCCTTGCGGTTCAAATTCTTTCCAAATTCTAAAGGCAATCTGGCAGTAGACGAGATGAAGATTTACCCAGAGGTAAATGGAGCGAGACCAGCTTCCGAAAGTAGGGCATTGTCATGAGGTCATCTTGCCACTAGATGTTGCTATCAGTACAATGAGGGGAAAAGCTGAAACATAAAAAGTGTAAGCCAAAAAGTTGTTTATATGGACTTTAACAAAGGAAATCTTCAAAATAGGAAATTTAGCTTTTAACCGATTCAGTGAGTTCCTGTTAGGAAAATGGGACACTTACTGCCTTGTTGCTTTTGTGTACTTAAATGATGGCTACATGCTACATAGAAGCACAAGACCTTATGGAGTAAATTACCTGAAATCTTGTTAGGAAGAACACAGCTGCTTACTACTCCATCAAGCATGTGTACATTTTACAGGTTTGGCTGGGTTAGGGGCTTGTTTTGCTGTTTTTTTAAAAAACTTCTTGCAATGTAGCAGAAGTGAGACTGCTATTAAGGTAAAGGGATAGTAATAGTTACCATAGGAGAATGGACAGAAGTGGCGGCAGAACAAGCAAAGCACGACGATATTAAAGTTAGTTGCACATTTTGAGTTGCATTTTATGATTTGCTTTACAAGCATCTTCAGCATGTAACAGCTAGACAACACTTGGGCACCAGGATTCTTCTAGCAAATGCATCTATGGATTCTGTCAGTGCCCAGGAATAACTCGTGTGATCTGTACACTGTAGAAAGAAGTCAAAGGAAGATGAGCCAAGGCAAACCTCATCACCAGCTGATGAGGTTTTTTTAGCCTAAAAAAGAAGCATTGAAATTCTATGTTATACAACCCAAATCCTCCGTAACGGAAGGGAATCCACAGAGATTAGAGAAGAGGTGAACTTCTACAATAGATACAGCAGTCCGTGTTTCTAATTCATTAGCAAAGCATATGTAGATATTAGAACACTTGACTAATCATACGACACTAACAACACCTGACTGCTGGACGCAGGAGAAGGAACTTTACAAACCCTGGAGAAGCAATCAATGCTTGGCGGAGTAAGGCATGGCTGGAATCCACCAAAATTTAGTTCAGGATTTTGATTTGGATCAGGTGCAAAGCAAAAACGGATTATTTAATTTCCAGTTTGCCAAATCTTTTTCCACCTATGCTCACCCTGTGTTCTCCCCTGCTGTGGGCTCCACCTGCCCCTGGAAGTGGAGTGGCATCAACTGCGGCGCTTGCTCAGCAGAAACAAAAATCATTAGGACCAGCCTCTGCGATTTAAGGTGATGTATTCCAAAACAGGTATCGGGGATTATTCCTGGTGATGCAGACGACTGCTGGTGAAAATCTCCTTACTGGGATGCTGCTCTGTCTATAGCCTAATCCTGGGCAGCAACAAAGGTGGGGAAAGGAAGCACCTGAATAGCATCTCACTCCATCTGGCCGCTGCTGCTGCGGCTAATGGAGCACAGCTACCCAGAGCACGCTGCCTAATCTCTTTAGGCAGGGCTACCTCTTCCAGCGTGCTGTACTAACAGCATTACCGAAAATAATACTGCAGAAAAACATGTTGTTTTCTAACAGGCTCGAGGAAAAAGGTGTTCAAGGCAAGGCTTTGTAAAACCATTCTCTTTTCAAACACAGCAGTACACTCTTCTCTTGCCTTAAGTTGAAATTCATCTTCAGTAGGTGACAGTTACAATAAGCTCTCAAGTGGTGAAGTGAAAGCTTCCTTGTGGTGCAGTGTTTTTTAAGACTGTAATGGAACCTAGGACATAAAGATAACAGGTGTGTGACACCTTCCTAATTCTTCTACTCAATAC